GTGTTAGGACCCTTATACTATATCACGTATGTCAATGAAGTGGTTAACTTAATAAAACATTGCGAAATTTATCAATTTGCTGATGACACATGTATAATAGCGGCAGAAACCGATTTAAATACGGCTATATTAAAATTACAAACTGATTTTACCCTGATAACCAAATGGTCTCATGACGTAGGTCTCGTACTTAATGCATCAAAAACTAAACTTATGTACATTAGTTCCAGTCGCAATAGAAGCACAATTATACCAAAATTAATTGTTCATAATCATGCATGTTTACATTCGAACACAAAATCGTGTACATGTGACGAAGTTGAGATAGTTAATAACCATAAATATTTAGGTCTCATTATAGACGACCACTTTAATTGGGCAGAGCATATAGATAAAGTATGTATAAAATTAAGATCAATTTTAGCAAAAATTTCTATTATAAAAAACAAAATCCCATTTTTAACTCGTCTATTACTATTAAACGCCCTAGCTGAATCTATCATATCGTATGGACTTAGCAGTTACGGAAGAACATCAAAAACACAATTAAATAAAATATACCAACTCCAAATACGATTACTCAAATCCGTAGTGCCAGATAAAGCTAAAAATTTATGTAAGGGTAATTATCATAACCTGTTCGCTCAATACAAAATAATGCCAATACATGACAAAGTCAAATATACACTACTACTAGAAAACTTTTTTAATCGAGATTTTCAAAAAACGATCAATCATGAAATAGTAACCCGCAGTGTATCGAACGAACGACTTGTCGTACCCCGTACTAACAATCTATACGGTAGGCGAACCCTAGAATATCTTGTTCCAAAATTATTGAACAATCTGACTAATGATTTAAAACATGAAATAAGTACAAAAAATATAAAGAAGAAACTTAAAGAATATTTTTTAAATATTAATGAAAATACTTAATATACCTAATTAAATAAAATTAATTAATATCTCATAAATGGAAACGGATCATCCTGTATTTGAACTATTTACAAGTTATTTCTTTCAAATACATTATCGCAAAACCGGTTTTAATGACCGACCGGTCGATTAGTGCATCGTAGGTGCCTAGTGTATTATTAACGTAATTTAAAAATCTTTTAACGTATACCCTCACATATGAGTTATAATTGAACAAACATCAGTTACTCAAAATCTTATGTAGTTTATAATGTTATAGGTAGTATATTTATGTACCAAAAGTTCCGAGTGCTCTCAATGAATGCCGGTGTACGGATAAACCCGACAGGGATTTTGTAACACCGTAAAAGAAATTTGTAATGTATAAATAATAATAATAAATAAATAAATAAAATAAATAAAGATAATGCTTGACAATATTTATTTGTTCCTAAATTAAGTTTACATGTACTTAGTACATTGGAAAGATCACAGAGTACAGTCATAACTAAAACCATGTATTAGTACGAACTTATCTGTCTAAACCAAATTGAATCTAACGCGATGATATCGTTCACTTTTTAGCTTGAACTTGGCTTCAGAATTGGGTAATATACAAATGAAATAATATTAATATTGCAATTATTATATGAAAATATGTGAGTGGATTTTAATATTCGATATTTGTTTATTTATTACGCAGCTAAAATCTACATCTATTATTTGCACAAAAAAATTAAGTTAAAGAGTAACTCTAGAGGATTAACCATCAATTTAAAATCACCGCTAACACTGACTTACAGCCGTATGCGATCGTTCCATCAAAGTAATTCACTGTAGCTTAAGCTGTAGTAACCTCAAAAGAGCAATCTACATATTTAACTATTTCTCAATATACCTTTATATTCATCTATCTCGCAAACAATATTACAATATGAATTCTCGTTCATTTTGCAAAAACCTTTATTTTAGTCTATACAAACTTTTAAATGTAAATTATTATTGTATATACATATATGTATAATTAAATTATATACCTATTATTGTATGCACATAATAAATATAATGTTAAACAAAAAATAAGTTACTTAATATATTAAGGAAAGATTGTATATTTTTTGTAAACATAAAACCGTATTGAGACCAGTAATACCGAATTGAGAACAGTAAGATTAGCTTTACAGCAGTGACAATGATAGTTCTGACATTTAAATATCCATCATCATCTAATTCATTAAATGAATCGATGTGACATTCTTTTGTTATCACACCAAAATATTCCAACTTCTAAATTTGACTTCGGCAAACCTTATGCTATTATTTTCGTTAAAATTTAATGTTACAAAGTGTACTTGAACAAGTTATTAAAGCACTGAAATAATAAAACAAATTGTTACAATAAACAATACATTGATAAAATTTATGTAGCAACTATCCACAATTACTCTAATATAACTCGTGCAAATAAATTTATAAAGGAATACTATTAAATATCTTATATTGAGGCAACTTTTGATTGAAATAAAAACCACAATTGTATTTTCCAAATTGTAATTTTTAATGGACCATACTGTACATTAAATAGAGTTGTATTTTGAATAAAATATCAAACTATGACGTGCAGGCCTTTGCTGGTTCATCCGTGTTTTTTTTATTAACATTTACCATAATTAATATGTCTTGACTCCATTGATGGCTCGTTTAATTTTCTTTAATATCAAAGATACCTAGTATTGACTTTTCACTGAGATTTAAAATAATCTAATGGTGTCATATAATAAAATCAAAAGTAACAAATCTGATCACCAAAATGAAAAAGTACACATATTGAAATCGGGTTTGAAATCCTAACTAAATATTTGTAAAGAAAAAAGGATAATAAGAGAATAATAGTATAGTATAATTTATACTTCTATTCATTTAATTAATCAAAGAACCAAACTAGAAATTAGATAATAAATGTAACTATTTAAATCAAAACTTTCATAACATTTATTTAAATCAAAATAAGAGTGCCCAAATAAAAGCCTAGCACGTTTGAGTAGGAATATATTAGGGTGTCCCATAAGTTTTTTCCGCGCTACGTTATGAATGAGTCTGACTGGCTATGCTTATATAAACATGCAGCTTATCTCTTAGCCGTTTATGGCATCGGTTTCAGTCGTCCTAGAGCTATTTCAAAGTACGTTTGGTTGGTGACAAAGCCTCTTTTAAAAAAAAATCTGCCCCGTTCAATTTGGAGAACCAAAAGAAGCATTTACGGCATGTTATGCTTCATTGCTTTAAAAAGGCAATAGTGCAAAGAACACTGCAGATGAGATTTGCACCGTTTACGGGAGTGGTACTACGACCATTAGGACCGTCCGCAATTGGTTTAAGAAATTTAGAGCCGGCAAACTTGATTTGCAAGATGAAGACCGCAGCGGCCGCCCAGTAACGACGGATGCGGACCTTATCAAGACTGTGCTCTCTGAAAATCTGCGATATAGAGGATAAAACATTCCCAAGACAACGGTACATAAGCATTTGATCAAGATGGGATATGCAAATCGGTATTAAGTTTGGGTTCCACACCTACTGACGGAGACCGGCCTTATGAACCGCGTCTCTACGTGCGATTTGCTTCGTCGTCGTGATGGTCGTGAGACAAAAATTATTACAGTTCGATTGGGACGTTCTACCTCATCCTCCGTACTCCCCAGACCTTGCTCCTTCCGATTATTACTTGTTCCTCTCCTTAAAAAAATAAATAATTTCAAATCCATAAGCGAAATAAAAACGCACACAGACGAATATTTTGCAAGTAAGCCTCAACAATTTTGGAAAGAGGGCATAATGAAGCTTCCTGAGAGATGGAAGAAGGTTATAGAATAGAACGGTTCATATATAATACAATAAATCAACCTCAAACAACAAATATCGTGTATTCATTTCGCATCAAAAAAAGGGAAGAAACTTATGGGACAACCTATGTAAATGTAACACGGTCGTCGGTCAGCTCATAAAAGCTAAAGGCAAATTATTATCTTTCGGCGCGTTTCGTTTCGTAATTTTGAGCAGATAATTTTTTTTACAATTTACGCCAACTTTGGTAGAGCGTTTATAAAATTTTCAACAAACAAACCGCTGTAAATATACATCTTGTGAAAGTAGTCGGATGACATTACATTTTATTACATACATAGATGTATATTACATAGATGTATATTAAATTTTTATTACATGGGAAATATTCCCATGAACAACCGTTCATGGGAATATTTCCCTCCCTTTTAGAAATTCAAATAAGGTTCATACATTAAATTTTGTGTTCACTTTGAATGTTTTCTATACCGTCAGAGTGTAATTACAACTTGTATGCGTTTTTCTGCAGCGTTTTGTATAAATCTTTATATACTAACATCATTATTTAAAGTTTCAAATGATATACACTAATGAATAAGAACATTGTCAGTCCTTTATTTATTTAAAATAATCTTGAGTGAAGGAGACGGACCTCTTCATCTTTTATTACGAAAATAATGTGTTATGAAATTTTTTTTAAACTGTATATTGGTGGTCTCTAGAATCTGTTTTAATATTATATCACCCTGAACTCTGAATATTCCATTTCAATATCAGTATAAATACTAAAAAATAACTTATTTTACCTCCAATATTAATTTATAAATTAACATTTATATTCATTTAAAATGAAGTTTAATTGATTTGTTTAAAATAAAATAAATTTTAATTAAGTTCACAGGAAAACGGTTACTCAGTTTTGACGGATTTAACCTTTGCCTGTTAATGTAAACGTAGTATGTTGGGAATTATTCCCAAAGAATTGTTTTTACAACAATAGAAGTTTCACAAACATGTTCCGTTTTAAGAACATGACAAATAAATAGGCACTTGAACATTTTTTGTTAAGAAAACAAACTATCATAAAACCGATAATCGATAAGCTTGAACAAGTGACTTTTATTTTTAGTTGTTAATAAGATTTCAAAATTAATTATTAATAATTATTCAATAATGTAAGATAACAAAAAATAAAGTTTCCTTCCATAAAAGACTCGTATCCACTCAATACCAAGAGTTAAATGACTAATCGTACAGGTTTTTTGACAAAGATATTATTATTCGTCACGTATACCTCATATAAATCCTCTTCCCTTCTTTTTGAACACGAGATCAAACTAATCAAATGTTTAAATGAATCGGTGTGAATCTCTTAAGAGGAATTCATTATTGTAATTTGTCAGTGAGTACTGTATAGTACTGTAATAATAATAATTAAAAACTGATATAAATTAAATGATAAAATTTTCAAAGTTTGTATGTCAACTTTAAATGCATAATTTTCTGTTGATTAATATTTTAAATAATGAAATAGTTTTATACAACCAATTTGAACTGAAATTGTTTATATAATGCGTCGAGGAAAAAATTAATTAAAATCATATTTTTCTTATAAACATACCAATTGATTAGATCCCTCGTCATGTAAGTTTAAATTGTTACAGTGAAAATATTTCTTATTCTTAAATAAAACATTTTAATTTCAAGTAAAATCTTTTTATCTATTTTAATTTATTTATCTCAGATATCTCTAACTCACATTTGATTGATCTTATCACACAACGAGATACAATTTGAACAGCTAGCAAATTAGTGAGCCACAGGCTCGCTGGTAATCCATTGTTTATATACGTCAATTGTATCGTGTCCACTCTTACAATCAGTATGCACGTGTGTACAGAACAAATGTAACATACATAACTGTGTGGTAACCAAAGATCTTACAGAATAAATGTACCTAAAACAATTAATATAGTATATACAATTAATAGGACTACATTGATTTAACTTGAACAGAACCATTAAATGCCCGAACGGACCCGAAGTGATGTTAAAGTGATGTCATTTGGTTTGTTCACTTTTGCGCAGGAGAGTACTCGTCGACGCGATTTGTGTCTTTTTAAATTCAATTTTAAGTGTTCTGGTTTAAGGTAATAATTCGCTTGTTCTAGCTGAGGTTTTATTTGTTTTTTAAAAGTACTGGCTTTATAAGACAACTGTATTTTGACCTTCTTAAGTTGTTTCCTATGAGAAAAATTGTATTTTATTTTGAATTAGAATTTAATAATCTCTTTAAAATTTATTACTTTATTGGAATTTACATTTATTAATATTAAACGCAAAAAGTTACTTCTTAAGAGTACTGGATGAAGTGTACTTGAGACATCAGCTTTTATGAAGAGGATGAACTATACTCAATGACTTTGAGAAAATAGACCTTATTATTATAGAAATCAATAAATTCTTTATAATATACGTCAAAATAAGAAAGAAGTACAAACGAAGTATTAAAATTAATATTAGCTTATAATAATAGTACTTTGCAGGGTCGGTGCTTCCGGACCAGGCGCCTGGTCCTGCTAGAAGGGTTTTGCAAGTCTGCGTCAATTACGACTTGAGAAATGTGCTTATCGTACATGAGGGTTTAGTTACAAAGGTAAGTCGAATTGATATTAACCGATATAGCCATGCGCCTTAAGCCGCTTTAACACAAAACAATTTAGGTGTGACAAAAGAAACATAGTTATTCAGTCATCTTTATAATCGACTGTTTCGGAACTTTAACGTTATGAACAATCTTATTTCTTATTTAGTTATTTTATTACTCTCGTATACAAACTTATTTACGTTAAAGAAGTAAATCTTTTTCTCGTAACGAAAATAAATGTGATGGTCACAATTTAATCGAAACGAAATTGCTATCTAACCCTAAAATACATCACAATTGTGCTTCGAAATTTCTTTTTTTAGTATAATTGGGTTTTAAATTTGAATCTCACAAACATTTTATAAAAAGTTAAAATTAATTTGTTAGTTTCATTAACAGTTTTCGTAGTAAATAACAAGTAACATCGTATTATAATATAATTCTATTTCCAAAAAGGCAGGTAGGTGCTATTCAATAAATTAATAAATAAATCTGTAAAGTTTACAGAGTAATTTTTTTCTAATCTTATTTAATATAATTGATATTTTTATATACAACACGCTTCAATATAATACATATTTATTGTATATCTTCTTCTTCTTCTTCCTGGCAATTTCCCAGCTTTAGCCAGGGTCTGCCAATATAATGTTGTATGTATATTCAATATAATATATTAAACATAAGTATTAGTGTTGTAAAGCAATACAGTGTTATTTAAGAAACGTTCAATTAATCGCTAGATTTTACAATTATACAATTTCATCCTATTTGGAAAAAGTTAAATTGAGTGTTGATATCATGAGCAAAAATAAATCTTAATTGTGGTAGTTTTAACTATCTTGTATTTAACTTGTTTCTTAAAATATATTCATTTTCAACAAGTATAATGTAAAGGTGTTAATTTTCAATGAATGATATTTTTACATACTTTTAAAGTAATGCATTAAATTATTCTCAAAGCCTTTATTTTATAAAGTAACCTAAAATAACTTCTAGATTTTTATCATACAATTATATTACATACCTATAGATATTTATTATAACTAGTTTGTTTCTTATAGGTGTTCCTAACGACCTATCTGTATACTGGCACCAATATCCATATAGTCTCGGCGTGGTCTTCTGTAAGCTGAAGGCTCTCATCTCTGAAGCGTATGTATTTATATTCTTAATAAATATGAATAAAACAATATAAGAGACGAAACCGTTTAGCATTCAATAGATTCACCGTGCTGGTGCCGGGTCCATTGTGTTACAGGGAGAAGAGCTTCAACAATGCGTGGGATTTGCGGCACAGGTGTAGGTTGGAGGGGCCCGTATCTAACTCGCGTGAAACGCTCACCTTCACCGTTCAAGCTCCTCTCTCTACCTTACTAATTTTGAAAATAACCTACTAGTGCTGCCATGGAAGAACTTTCCAAGAATGGATTGATGTTAGTTCTGGACAGTCTGTTAGTAAATTATAGAGAGATTTAGCTGTAATACCTTTAGAAGTGGGAACTTCTACCGTCTATTTCTACTTCTAAACTATAACGAACCTATTTCGAGTGAGTTCGTTTGTAAGCCCATAATATTTAACCTTGATTGTATGGTCTTTGGGGATGTTAGTTTCCGAAAGAACTGTAAGCTCGATAATCACAACGCACTTTAAAATTCGCGGATAGATAAATATGTGTTGCCTGGAGGCCGACGCCAAAATATCTTGGGAATTTCGTATTGTTTTTAACGCCCGGCGGAAAAATTAATTTTAATGCGTTTTTTTGCTTGAAAGGTTTATCCGTCGAGAGTGTTCCTAGCTATCTTTGATGGAAATCGGTTCAGGTCTTTAAGGTCATCATGTCGTTTGTTAGGTGTGATAGGAATGTTACAAGCACAGTTTGCTTGCAAAATTTGTGTGGGATCCGATATTTCAAACACTAATTTCTTTGGAACCACTAAGCCTGTCTACTGTTAGGACTTGAAAAAAAGGAGGCGTGACCCTGGATTGCGTTTTAGTAAGCCCATCGAGTTTGGGCTCGTTGAATTTGTCTTGACTGGTTCTCTTCATGTTTCTAATTGGGTCGGGGGTTTTATTAAATTTTTAATTTATGTTATGTAAATTCCTTTCCATCATTATATGTAGTTCAAATGATTCAGTAAGTGTAATTAAGTAGTTGTATATTCACCTTGTAATTAATATACGTATAAAGATTACTCAGCAGTAATTCCAAAGCAGAAGCAAATATTTGACATATTTTTGATGATAGATTGTATTGTTTCGTTCGATACAAAAACATCTAAATACATTAAGAAACAAAGGGTACATATACTCCTATTTTTGTATCATAATATTGAAGAATTAAATAGGAAATATTCTGAAATTAGGTATGTATTTCACTTTACGCAATATAAACCATTAGGGAATACGCAATCCCTATCTTTTTTCAAGATTTTGCGAAGACAACTCATGTATATTTATATTTGACTTGCTGGCATTAAATTTTTACAAGTTTTGTTTACTTTCACATATCCTTACTATAGGGTTCCTCCTCCTTCTCCTCCTTTATTATAGGGTGTTTTACACTGCCAATCAGAGATTACCTTTGTTGGACGTATAAGAAATAAGAAATAAAATAAGAATAACATTTCTTAAACTTATTACTTATGTAGACTCAACATTTGACCCAGTAGCAATACCACATTGCGGGTGTAGTATTAAAAATCTTTTGATTTACATGGACAAGTCATTAGTCCATGGAGTCAGCAAGATCACTCATTACATGATTTTTAGTCCTTGCAACTTGCAACCTCTGCGATGTTCTTTAAAGTTTCAATTAGTTTTCATATGTAATACCTTATAAGATATTGTTTTAGAAACGTAAGTACATGTTTAAATAAAGCAGATCCGAAACTTCTTAGTATTCCATAGATTCAGATCGTCCATCGCGTTGCAGGGAGAGGAGCTTCAATAGTGCCTTGGACTTGCAACCCAGGTGTAGGTTTAAGAGGCCCCTATTTCACTCGCTTTAAACACTCACCTCCATTTTCCAAAGTCCTCTCTCTACCTTACCAAATTTAAAACGCACCTACTAGAGATACTTCAAAGCTCGTTTTAATGAATGAATTGATGATTTGAATGAATTGATCTAGGTTCTGGTTAATATTGTAAGTAAGATATTTATTATGAAGTAAATTATTTGTAATATACTTATCAATGTTTTATTAATATGTGAATATACTTGGACTGATCGGGTTTTTATATTCTTCTAGCTGCGCCCCGCGGTGTTACCCGCGGATTTCTGGAATTTCCGGGATGTAAAGTAGCCAATGTGTTATTCCTGGACGTCAGCTTCCTGTGTACAAAATGTTATCAAAATCGGTTCAGCCGATTGATCGTGAAGAAGTAACAAACATACACACACACACTCACAAACTTTCGCAATTATAACATTAGAAGGATAAAAAAAAACTATTTTTGTAGTAAATATTTTAGTTCGAAAACTATATATGTACTTTATGTCATCGCTGTAGCTCTATGATGATAAAACGTGGGAGGAGGAGTTTGTGAACGTGATTTTATTTTTAAACTATTCGTACACAGTCCCAGCTTTTTGTGTTTGCTGTTCCCAATGGTTTTATTTTCATTGTGTAATGGTAATCTGTTATTAAAAATTTATTATTGTAAATTATATTGCTTACCAACTTTAATAAAATTACTAGAAGAATACGTTGACATCTATATTACGTATGTATATTTGACGTGTCTGCCACCTTATACATACTTTGTATCGTAATGTAGGTGAAATAAATTGAGCAGATTTTTCTACCTTTTATAAGTAAAGCAAAAAATAAAGAACAAAACAAAGCTTTATCGGGAATTTATGGATTAAAATTAACTATATTACCTATGCAATATGCATAGGACAGCTTTAACTACGAATATAAATGGAAGGTATTCAAGTGTCAAGAAATAAAAAGAAATTACCTGAGTACATATACGGATTATTAATTTATTTTCAAATAGCACAGCTCCAATCAAACTTAAAAGTTTAGGAGGAGAATTTCTCATAGATCGGAGGTTTACACGAGGGGATTATATTTCACTCAATTATTTTTAGCCAGATTTAGACAACAAAGATAGAAAAATGACAAATTGACAAAAATAATGTAAGAAGGTTATCCAAGAGGAAAGAGGTTACGGATGACGGGTAAAATATTAGGAAAATTACTCCAAACAAAATTCTACACCGGAGTAGATGATTTATAAGAATAAGCGGACATCTTTAAGAAGGCCTGTTGCGTGGAACAAAATTGTCCCTAAATCATAAAAATCGAAAAGATTAATATGTACTAAAATGTTATTTCATGTTTAATTTTAAAATGTAACTGTTTATTATTTATTGTAATAATTTTATGTTTAATTTTAAAATATACAAAGTTAGCATTTACTTTAGGCAATGGATCATCTTTTCAATAAATATGTTTAATGTAATAGCAATCAATGCTTATCTATTTATCTTTCAATCAAATACGAAAGAAAATATTTGTTTAGTATCAGTACTACTTTATTAATATCTGGCTGTAATCGATAGATTTTCAATTTAGAAATCATTTTAGTGTTATCGCTACAGGCATCTAATTGTTAAATAGCGTTATTTTTAAACAAAATCATAAAATATTTTCACAATTATAATGATAAAAATGTCGATTAACGAAAAGTGTATACAATAAAAGTTTTTTGTTTAGTATTTAATATAATAATTTAATGTGTTATTATTATTATCTGTTATTAAAATTTTAAAACATTATTTAAATTTTATATCTCCTTACTAACGGATAAAAATGTCAGTAAAGTCGAAATCTTTACAAAAAATCAGTTAGTAATATAAAATAGTAAATATATTTATCTCAGTGGCTCATTTATTTAGGACAAATAGACCCATTTAAATAATAAATCATCTAGATCATACCGTTTGTTACAGAGCATCGTATGTGTCCGTGTTGACTATAGTAGCGTTCACTCTCGAACGCTACCTGGCCATCTGTCATCCCTTACACATATACGCTGTGGCCGGTCTGCGGCGAGCCTTACGGATAGTACTCTCTCTGTGGGTGTTGTCTCTGTTGGCTGCATCACCCTTCGCTCATTACACTACAGTCAATTATCATCAATATCCACCGAGTAAGTTGATTAAGATACTCGTACCTTGAACTCATTACATTAATTAGAATCTTTACATATATATTAACAAATTATAGGCTGTGTAGGCACAAATATATAAACATATTGCATTAGCTCAAAACATAAAAGAGCAACCATTGAAACGGAAATTAAAAGTAGGACTAAACTTTTGCGATGCCATTTCCATAAGAAACACAAATGAAAGCTGAAGAAGAAAAATCCGTCTGTAACTTCCTATAATATGTTCTGTTATAAAATAACTGAAAACTTCGCCAAATGTCTCAATTAGTACTTTTCAGACTTTAGACTGAGAATAATTAGTCAAAGTTTCCTTCCCCATTGTCTAAACCGAACTATTTCACTTAAACTAGCGTTAATAGGCATTTTATAACAGACGTTGATAAATAGCAGTTGGTAGCAGATGTATATAATATAATATACGTAATTTAAAATATAAAAGGAGATATATCAAAAAGAAAGTTAATATTAAAACTATAAATTTATGATCAATGAGGTTTTTCTTAAGAACCTTTTAACAATCACAACCTAATTATTACAGGCCAATTCAACCATGAAATATTTCAAAGCTCAATCTGAAATTTATAAATAGACTTATAACAAAAGATCTCATTGAAATAGTATTTGTTAAGATTAATGGAATGGAAATTTATTTTTTAAAGCCTGAGTACTTAACCTTGTTCGTTCTAAAAATACCTTTAACATAAAAGATCCTAAGGAATTAAAAACTATTTCACAATAATTAATATACTTTTAAATGAAATAACATTAAAAATCTATTTTGAAAAAAAATTCTTATTGCATCTTAGAATCAAATTTAATTATTACCTTATCGTAAAACATTTCAAAACTGAAAACTCAACTTTAAATAACTTAAATATTATCGTTTGAATTCTATTAGAAATATAAATGAATTCTTTAATACTGTATTCTCTATCAGCATCAGGGAATGCTTCATTGGAGTCAGCATTCTGTGCTATGCTTGAACTACCTTCCTGGTACATCTGCGAGCTCAGTAGCTTCTTCTTCTTCCTTCTCCCTGGACTTGTCATACTCTGCCTCTACGTCAGAATGGGATTACGGATCAGGTATGTTTTGGGGTATGTATCTATTTTTATTCGCGATGAATATCATATCTATACATGTTAAGTATGTGTTTCTATTGTAAACATAATAAAAGTGGAAGTTATTACATAAGAACAGTTTTAAAAAAATATACACGTTTTATTGTTAATAACTTTTGACGAAGGAAAAAATCATAATATTGAAAATATATTTCATTGCCTATTTTCAGTAATATATTCTAAATCTGTGTCTTATAGCAGTTTTTATGACCTCCTATATATTTTTATTACTACTATATTTTTAGTTTGAATATTTTCTCAATTTATCCATGCTTTGTTTTTATTCACAATTTTCAAATAGCCTTGGCATAGTTTAAAAGACATTAATTAATTAAAACTGGAGCATATGCCGAGCATAATACTGTAATACCAAAAATGTTTTATATACTATAATTTTGATAATAGGTTGATGCAATAATATAAGCGGCTCGGAATATTGGAATAGAATGTCTTCTCCTTAATCATATACGGCGTAAAAAAATCTAAGCTTCTTTTGTGTAATGTAAAAAATATCGATATATATAATCCAACTAGTTTTTGCCCGCGACTTCGTCCGCGTTAGTTTGGTCAAGAGTAATATATGTAGGTATAGCTGACCAGGCGAACTCTATTCCGTCTTAGAGGCCATAAATAATCAGGTTTTTCCTGTTTCAATCAAACAGAAAGATTGACATTTTAGTTAGTTGTCAAATCTAATGTCAAAAAAACGTTTGTATGGGAAATAGAAAAGGGCTGTTTTTAGGGTTTTCCCGGCAATTATTCCAATTTTTCTCACCTTTTAAACCTTCCCTGGACTTTCAGGAGTATTTCAGGACTAAAATTAGCCCAATCGGTTCAGCCGTTCTCGAGTTTTAGCGAGACTAAGGAACAGCAATCCATTTTTATATATATAGAAGATATATAAATATATATATTACTTTAGAAATCTGGGAAATCTAGTTTCATTTGGGATTACGATTAATTAATCCAGTTAAGTCCACATCATCATCATCATCATCATCACTCAGCCTATAGCAGTCCACTGCTGGACGTAGGCCTCTCCCAACACGCGCCATAACACTCGGTCCTCTGCCTTCCGCATCCAGTGAGACCCAGCGACCTTTTTAAGGTCATCGGTCCACCTAGTTAAGTCCACGCCACGTTTCAATTAGGGCTATCCTGTTGTTGTACACTCATTTATCTACACAAATTAGAAATGTTACTAAATGTGGAAAGCTACAAGTATTTTTATTTGTTTTGAGGTTACAATGTTTTTCTTTGACCCTCCTTATATACCAGATACAAATATCAAAAATTAATTAACTATGAACTAATTCATGTAAATCCTTTTTAAGACCTGGTTTCAACTCGTTTAGTTCAATTTTTTTACAAAAATTTAGTCTCCTAATAAAACTTATTCTTCTAAATAGAGATTTATATACACAATATATTTATGTCGGATTAAATCATTTATTTTTTGGTATAGTTCAACCCACACTCACACTCCTGTTAGTTCCGGGACTCTGAACGGAGTTAACGGCAGGTGTTCACGGAGAGGCGCGCCAGGCTCAGTCCAGAAAGAACATCATACGGATGCTGAGTTATTATACACCTTCCATACATATTATATGTACTCTGTTACAAGTCAACCCTAACCGAGTCTTTACAGCCGCCGTGGTGATTGCGTTCTTCGTGTGCTGGGCTCCTTTCCACTTCCAGAGTCTGTTCTTCATCTATGGCAGCGGCGTCAGTTACTACAACGCCATCAACGAGTATCTCTTCCTCGCAGCCGGAGTCTTCTACTACATCTCAGCCACAGTCAACCCCATCCTGTACAATATTATGAGTCACAGGAGTGATAGTTTTAATGGCTAAGCTTTTCTTTGGTGAATATCTTAATGTTCCTGTTCGAACTAAAATTGGCCTCGAGTATAGATAGTAAAATAACAAAAGCGGATCTCTTTAGAAATATAAGAAATAAATACGGATATTGACAAAAATCTGTCTTTAAAATCGTAAACGTAATATAGTTTAACAAAGTTTTAAGCTACAAAATAGGTCATCAATTTTCGCTCATTTATCTTGTGGATTTTATTTTGAAGATAGACAATGTAGTTAAGTCGTGTAGTGTGTGTTAGTAACATGGAATATTCTAACTAAATCTCGTTTTCTCGTATATTGTATACTGTAGGCTGTAGTCGTATGAACTGCAATACGAGTATATCCCATATCCAGAATTGATATATCGTATTTTGTAAGTTGCAAGTTTAGAATTTACTTCTATGCTTACATTTATTTTATGAATTTTAGTTTGATATAAATTTGGATATGACGTTATTAATAACAAAACAATTTACTTAGGAATTTGTTGGGGATTGATGTATAAATCTATTTAAATCCAAACTAATAACATTATTATCTGTGTATATAGTTATTTAAAAAAGTATATGAAAATGTGTTCCTGGTGTAATTCATATGTATTCATATACAATTTTCCATCGTTCCTAAATCTCCAGGTACAGAAAAGCTTTCAAGGAAACTCTCTGCTGTCGGAAGGTCCACAGAATGAAAAGCAGCTCTGACAGCAGCAACTGGTACAGTGAACGATGGAAGGACTTCAACAGACGACAGAATGGACACTGGAAGAAGAACAACCACGAGGCGAGCGAGTTGATGATGAAATATTATAAATGTTAGAGTAAATTATAAAATTTATAGTTCGTAATATTTACAGATTGTGTTAGAAAAAGAGAAAAGAAGTGTAAAATAAATAATTAAATCGCACAATGTAATTGTAAATTATAATATTTTTTACATTTTAATATATCATCACTATTAGTATTATAACTTAATAAAAATATTGTCAATATAACTAATATATTGTTTAGAATAAACGTTTTGCTTGGTAATAAATATTTTTATTACCTACTGACTTTCTTTTTATTAATAATTTAAGGTATATAAAGTTACAAAAACAACTATAAAAAAGTTAGAAGCACGAGTCATTTTATGACCTACAATACTCTACCTCTCTGAATTACAAAGGCTACGTTTTTAGCATAAATTTACGTTCAAAGCTTTAAATATTGTCTATCTCTCTATCTAATCTTTCTACATTTATTAGTACGTGTTAAAATTTGTTGAATATTTTATTGCGCTATATTAACTAAAAATATATTTCTAATTTATTTCTATAGCAAAAATATGACTTGTAGATTTTTAGTTTTCGGTTTTTTTTTGTTTAATAGACGACAAAAATATAGTTGATATTTATTGTTATAGCCACAATTCTTTTTGAAATGGTTTCGTACAGTATATTGAAAACTTTAAGGCCTAAAATGTATACAACCTCACAGTTTTGAAAAGACAAAGATATTTTTAGAGCGTCTATTTAGTTCACAGATTCTTTATTAAGAATCTTGTGGTGCTAACTGATTTTGATATTTTTTAAATTGATTTAAAATGATAAATTTTAAGGTTCACAATTCAGTTTAACATATATTGGAACCTGTTTTTGGCTTAAATCCAAGTCTTTTTACGATAGTGTCTTTGGTAAAGAAATAATAAAAGACAACCATTAGTTATTTAAGAAAATATTAATTTATTGCTAGTGGCTTTCTTGAAAGAACAGATTTTTTAAGTCAAATATTTTGAGTTAATGTTATTAGATGTATAATAATTTATAGATGAATGTTAAGAGATATATCAACGAATTTATTAAAAAGTTATCAGATAGAACAATTACTTTCATAAATCACGAGAATTTGAAAATAAACGAAAAAAAAACATTTGTTTTATGTCTTGTATTTATATATTTTTAAAGTTTCACAAATAATTGTGAGAAGTAATTTTGTGAATGAATAAAAAACTCCACAAGAATTTCTTCGATATTATGAGCATAGTTCATTCATCTTATCTTCTTATATAAATTAAACCTTCAAAAACATATAACAATTGAAATGGTTTTGACAAAAAAAAAAAATATCTTGACATAAGAAATAAGACTTATGTTTTAGTTTTTTAAGTTAGATATTGGCTGTAACAAAACGTAGGATTAAATTGTCTCAAGCTCTAAGAAAGCAACCGAATAATAAAAATAATTAGTAAATCAATTATGGGTTACTCTCACATAACACCCTGTTAAAACACACATTATTTTGAATACGATTTGTATAGACAAAGAGTCTTAATATTAAGAATATTTAAGAATATTTATTTTGCCATAGTAGATAAAGGCTTAAAATTTCACAGTAATTACCTTCTAGGAACCAGAATTTCAAATTTGAAATATTAAACTTATAAATAATAATAACTTCAATAGTTAAGTTTCATATAACTGGGTAAATCACAATAATACTTAAGTTTCATCGACGCACTTTGTGAGCCTTTCATCGTCATTTGTCTGTGAAGTTATAATAATAGCAATCGCTTTGACGATTGGTCTTTAGAGAAATTCAATTAATATCGATGATTGTTTTTTTTTTACAGAGACCATAATTACTGTTCATTTATTGTGTTTTTTATTTAAACATGTTATAAATTTGTATGTAAGTACATCAAAATTTTCATATAAAAAATTGGTGAAAATTCTTTCATGTTGTAATTCAAATTTTAAAATTTCTTAAGTTATCATACTTAATAAGGAACTATTCTTTATGTAAATTCAAGAGATACTGCATTAAAATTTATAGAATGTCAGTGTTCTAATACAATATATATAAAGGCTTCAAAAAACTGACTATTTATATTGAAACTCCTACTAATAAACGTTTTACTAAATATTTTTTTTATTAAACCAGTAAAGTTTTCTTTGAATTTCCAGTTAATATTTACAAATAAAAAGCTGAAGCTAAATTTTCATTAAGTGATCGGAGGTTTTTATTAACTGTTTGTTATCATCATATAAAAGCCTTTTCACTCGAGTCGATCCACGTCGCATCCACTACAGTACAGTAATGGAGTAAGATCTATACATGGCAACGATACTTAATTGTTTATGAAACTGCATTACAAAAATATTGTCCAATTATTAAATATATACATTTGCTTCGATAATATTAAATTCATTTCTCTAACAGCTTCAATTCAATTAGGCTGCTTAATTGGAAAGTAAGTTGTAAATAATCCTGACCATTTTAGAACATTTGAACTGCAGTAAATTGTTTAGAATAATTAAAAATCTTCTTCTTCTTCTACCTGCCAATTTCCCAGCTCTTAGTTTTGGCAAATTGTTTTTACCACCGGCCGCCTGCCTGACATTGATCCTCTTTTGGGAATGTATTAATCAGTGATATCTAAATACTATAAGAAAGTTCACAGGACTCAGAAAAATCACATGTACTTCCCAGGATCGAAATTGAGCCCTCATGCATGAGAGGCTGGCCTTTTAACCACTAGGCCGACACTGACTTAGTACAAACTTTATTTTAAAAAAAAAGTATATATTATGATAGTTAATTAAAGATATGCCTTTAATTATCCTTATAATTTAGTCTCTGTTTTATTATTTTCTCAACAAAGTCAAAAATCGTCTCTATTGTATCCTTTTAGTTTCGACGCCAAACGTTTTCTACTTTTTGTGAAACTCTATATTGCATCTTATATACCCGAGTGTATTGGAAAGTGGAATATGCTAATAAAATGGATCGAGCTATCAAAATGACGTAGTGTATTGACAACAAGCAGCGAGTGGCTGAGTAATAGTATTGAAACCAGGCAATTTGAAAATAAATCACTTCATGCTTTTGTGTTTGCGTATTGATTATTGTTTGTTCGATGTTGTTTGATCTGCAACAGCAAGGTCTTAATGTTTAATCAACTCTTAGTAATTACGGGATTCTAATAATTTTATTTGTTTTTAAAAGTGCTTGAGCTGCTTTTGTTTCAATTGATTTAATTAATACATATTTTCAATTAATAAAATTAAAATGTTTTTAAATAACAATTTTATTTCAAGTCCCCGATCCGACAGCTTTTGGTATTGAGAATTTAATAATCTAGGAAAATGATTTTAATAATATCTGGTCTTTATAGTGACATTGTAGATCTAATAATTTCTAACGGGAAGCTATTCTGAACTACATAATGTTACACATGAATGAAATAAGGCTTAAACAAATACGATGTACCTTCGACAGGTATCATAAGAGTAAATTGTTGTAAATGATCAAGGAAAGTTTTAGTCAGTATGTATTTTAAGACCATTAAAAAATAAAAACAATTTTGAATAATATTCTGTCTGAGGTATATAAGTAGATATGAGAGATTCAAACATTTATAGTTTAGTAAAATATTTTAAATATAATAGGAACCAATAACTCAAAACAAACTATTAAGCAAATTATGCTTGAAATGTTACCTACAATTAAACTTATGTTTTCTAATAAAATAATTATATCAGGACTGAATTTATACCTACAAATTAACTAAAAAAACATTCAACTGTATTTGGATTTTATGAAGTAAAATCATGCAGGATACTGAAATTGAGTTGAGCTTAAATGAAAATAAATTTTACTTTTACAACTCGTAAAAGTATCCCAAAGTCATCACCCTAATTACTTTGGAATATAACACAATATAAAATTATTCAGCTTTTAGAATGATTGTTCCTTCATGTATTTAAATATAAAATATTTGTAAATTTACTACCAATAAAGACAGTACTCAATCATCTAAAATTAATGTTTTTATCTAATTTTTTTTGTTTCTAAATGTTTTTATCTAAAATTATGTTACTACATTATATTACATTAAATAGAAGCCCTTTTGATAATAAGTCCTTATATAATTTCATGTCTCTATCAATCATGTCCTCAAATTATAAAAACTTCCTCTTTAAAGGCAAATTAAACTAAACCCAAAAAAATTCGATAACGATTTGCTTGACTCATCATGATGAATAAATTATATTACATTGACCCTTTTGATTTCAAAGGCTTCTAGTTTGTGGAAATTGAACCCGAAAAGAGAAAGTTACAATGGATAGAAAATGCCTTTGAATTTAACATTTCAATGTTTGTTTTAATAGAATTGAAAGTTTAGTGATTAATAATGTTTTCGACTTTCGATGGGTGCAATGACACCAAAATTGTAATGACGACATTAATTTAATTTTAGAACTAAATTACAATCACTTGGTTTGATTATATTTTACAAAGGGTGAACAAATAGTTATACAATATTCTATAAGAAATATTAAACTAAAAAGTCTGTTCATAAGACACATGCAGAATGAACAATTTTACTTAGAAGTTAAGGCCATTGTTAACCTATTGTAAGAACTAAATGTGTTTAAGTGTAAGTTAGATGTCTATGCCAGGCCACTCAATTACCAAGTGTACAAGAATTTACGAATGCTCTATAAGGAAAGTCTGAAAAATATTTGTTCAATTACAGACATTTAACTTGAAGAATTTTTAAATGATCTTTAAGGTTTTGTAAAAATAAAAGCCTCAATAATTTAATAGTAATGTTTTAAATAATTGTCCATGGAAATTGTATTGAAATATTATTAATACACACTTTGCAAATAATAAATCTAAAACGTTTTTAAATTACCTGAAAAATATAAAAATAGACACATGTTCTCTAATAATGACACGTTAAATACGACAACAAATTTATCTTTTCAATAATGATAAAGTTTTATTCGGGTTACAGGAGAAAGACATAATTAGTTAAATTGTTGTATTCAA